TTCTTAGGTCTACGTCACTATACAATGTTCCCCATCTGTTTAAGACATTTTGAATAAACGCCCACAATACTTATAGCGTTTTGAAGGTTCTTGAAGTAGAATTTTGATATTTCGGTTCCTCAGAAAATTATGTATATGTCGCACTATTCATCACCGAAAATTATATTTAATCTTTTTTTGGTTCCCATAGAACATAGTATAGGAAGATCGACATACAAAATGCAATAATACATAAAATAGGAATACGAATATTGTAAAATGTATGCTTTATTCTTTTGAAGATGGGGTTTGCGAATAATAACACCGATTAAATTCCAAATAATGTCAATCATTAAATTAATAACAATAAATTTTAAATTTAATTGAACTAAAATCGAATTAACGTAATTATGTTTTCCTACATAAATCAATCACCTCCTGAGAAGCATTTCTTTCCACAATTCAAATTATAAATTATTTCTTTTTTATTTTCACACCTAAAACGTACGTGTATGCATGACCTCAAGTTCAATAAAATATTTCACATCAATGTCAATGAACTATTTTGTTTTTGTAGGCAACAAAGTTCAACAGTGAACCTTATTTGACATATTACATTGTTGTAGGCGCCAATAAAGTTACCTTTATATTGAAATTAAATTTTAATTTTTCAATTTTTATCATATATTTTTTAAATATTAAATTTAACATTAAATGGGTCACGACGAACATATACACATCCGCACACTATAAAGATGAATGATTATCAGTGATGGCATCTAAAATAACCAGCGGCAGTGGATTATTATCCGCAAAACTTGTGGCAGCGAAATTACTCAATAACCAAGAGGCATCATCATCATCAACGCCGCCACCATCGTCATCTTCATCAAATCACCATGATGATAATTTGATGAATAACTTTTCTTTGGCATTCTTGATTAGGGGGTGGGAAATTATTATTTGTGGCGTTAACTATTGCTTTAGTCGAGTTTTATTTTCCCTCTGAATAATGAATTAATAAATCTCTGCCATGAAATGCATCAAAGATTTTTCTTTCAAAATTGAAATACAAAAAAACTGAAATTTATTAAAGGTCCAGAACGAATTGAAAGCTCATTATAAAGTACCAGTATGACTTGCTCAACACATGGTAAATGTTAATAAAATTTAAAGCGAAAAAGAGGAAGAACAAAGAAGCAAAATATATAATTAAACTAACCGTTGAATAAATTTAACGAAGCATAACCACAAATAATGTGGGCAATGAGTCTTTGATGCTTCATTTCAAATGACCAACGAATCATAAAGATTGTACTGCACAACAAGTGGATAATGATAAAACGGCATGTGGATTAACTAACATTTGTTTTATAAGTGTAATGATAAAGTTTATGGAGTGCAAAATTATTTGACAATGTAATTGGATAAAATCATTATATATGTCAAGAACTCTTGAAGATATAGCCGATTTATTGTGTCAGCATCAAGTGACGGCTGAAGGGCTTCTCCAACTTTAAACGCGTTTTTCTCCAAACATTGGTTTTGCGAATGGCGGGCACGATAACTCAAAAACTAATAACCCAATCGATTCCAAATTTTTACACGTTTCTCTGTGAGTGTATAGCTATCGTATGAACTAGGATAAAGCCAATCGGTGAAGATCTTCCTTATTTTTTAACTTGGTTTTTTTTTTTGTCAAAAATCGGTGATTTTCCAAAAATATTTTTTCAAAGGTCCGCCATTTTGTTAATTTTAGAGCGAAGTCAATAATCCTAGTTCATACGAGAGCCAGACATGTACTCTTTCTAACAACGCTGGAATTTTCGGATTCCGATGTTCCAGTGAGGAGTTATCATGCCCGCCATCAAAAATAAGGACTTTTCTTTAATTACAAAAAACAACAACAAAACAACAACAAAAATTTTTTGTAAATTATTTTTCTTCTATTTTAAATCTTCAATTATATATGTGTGAAGTTACAAACCTTAACAAGCATTGGTATTGATTTACCAGCCCATTGAAAATCTTGAAAAATTAAAATCGAGAATGGGGGGGGGGTTCCCTTAATTTTCTATCAAATGTTTAAATACAATTTCCAAATACTATTTATACCCTAAACAACTATGTTGTCAGGGTATTATAGCTTTATGCAGCCCCAAGAGTTTGTAATGCCGCGAAATATTCGTCTAGACCCACCTTTAAGTATACCCATCATCATATAGCGACTACCTGAGTCGATCTAAACATATGCGTCCGTCCGTTCACCTGTGCATTAAATTTTTGTAAACACACTAGGACCAATCATCATGAAACATGTAGGACCGTTTCTGACCAAAGGAGGTTCCTATTGTTTTTGGTAATGATCGGTTAATATATAGGTGATGAAATGGGCCCAAAACTTATTGTCTGTTTTTCTGATCGCTCTAGAGTCCACAATTATGACCCGAACACCACGAAATTTCACACCAGGAAGGGAATCTGGCCAAAAAATAAGCACGACTATTTTGATGAAGATCGGTCAATATATAGTGGGTCAATGAAGGCTTTTGTGTGCAAAATGAAGGGCATAGACCCAAGAAATTGATAGTATATCTAAGAGGATTGGTTGACCTTTAAATTGATACCAATTATATTGTTCTAAAACCCATTATTATATGCATAACGTCACATAATTGGGAAAAATCGGTTCAGATTTAGATATAGCTCCCATATATATATATATATATATATATATATATTTATATATATATTTAACCGATTTAATGTAAACGGTCCCTATATATCTTTCGATTTGCACGAAATTTGGTACAGCCTAATCATTTAGGTCTAGAATGATGTCTGCCAAGTTTCGTGAAAATCGGTCCAGAGTTAGATATAGCTCCCATATATAGTTTCGTCCGATTTCATGTAAATGATGCCCCGACGTCCCAATATATCTTTCGATTAGCACGAAATTTGGCACAACGTATTGAATTAAGCCTAAAGTGATGTCTGCCAAGTTTCGAGAAAATCGGTCCAGATTTATATATAGCTCCCATATATAGTTTCGTCCGATTTCATGTAAATGGTGCCCCAAAGACCCTATATATCTTTCGATTTGCCCGAAATTTGGCATAACGTACTGAATTGAGCCTACAATGATGTCTGCCAAGTTTCGTGAAAATCGGTCCAGATTTAGATATAGCTCCCATATATAGTTTCGTCCGATTTCATGTAAATGGTGCCCCAAAGTCCCTATATATATTTCCATTTGCACGAAATTTTGCATAACGTACTGAATTGAGCCTAGAATGATGTCTGCCAAGTTTGGATAAAATTGGTCCAGATTTAGATATAGCTCCCATATATATCTTCGTCCGATTTCATGTAAATGATGCACCAAAGTCCCTATATATCCTTCGATTTGCACGAAATTTGGCATAACGTACTGAATTGAGCCTAGAATGATGTCTGCCAAGTTTCGTGAAAATCGGTCCTGATTTAGATATAGCTCCCATATATAGTTTCGTCCGATTTTAGGTAAATGGTGCACCAAAGTCCCTATGTATCCTTCGATTTGCACGAAATTTGGCATAACGTACTGAATTGAGCCTAGAGTGATGTCAGCCAAGTTTCGAGAAAATCGGTCCTGATTTAGATACAGCTCCCATATATAGTTTCGACCGATTCTATGTAAATTGTGCACCAAAGTCCCTATGTATCCATCGATTTGCACGAAATTTTGCATAACGTACTGAATTAAGCCTACAGTGGTGTCTGCCAAGTTTCGAGAAAATCGGTCCAGATTTAGTTATATCTCTTTTTTATTAAACATTGATTTTAAATAATTGACGCACCAGGGAACCAGGAACGTTCTGAAATTAGTATAACCTAAGCTGTGACAAGTTTGTTTGAAATCGCTTAATATTTGGATAGAGCTTCCATATATATTTTCGAACGATTTCAAGTAAATTGGGCATCAAATGTGATTGACATCACATTTTGCACAACGTACACAATTGAGCATAGAATTACGTAGTTGCGTTTTCTAGAAGTACAGACATAGCCCAACGGATGACCTATTTATATTAGTTTGAAGTCGATTTACATACTTTGGTCCCATTGTAACAAACGAATGACATGTTTATGGATAGATCTAGGTAGATTCACATTTAGAAAAATATCACATATTTTATTTCATCCCATTTCATGTTAATAGTCCTGTTTAATATACCCATAGTGGTGAAGGGTATCATATAGTCGGCCCCGTCCGACTTTACTACTTTCCTCACTGGTTTTATTTTATTCTAGAGGTTCATAGAAACCGGCATATGACTTCCAATTTCTATTGATTGTAATACTTAGGTCGTCCTTTACAAGCGTCCACTACCAAAAGAACTTATGACCAATATAGAATACTATCTACATTACCATTTTCGAATTTCTGTAAAAAAAGAAATACTGGCATTTGAATTACTTGAATAAATTGTCTTATCCACTCAATTAGATTTCACAACCAATATATGGGCCTAGTGCGCCTTTAATCATAGATATCTTCGGGTTAGATTATTTTGTAGGACGTACTGTACAACCTGACTATTCTATAATCTTTATAATGCCAAACTAGCGTTTTTATTCCATTTGTAAAGACATAAGGTATCAGTCAGATTTCCTGGAATATGTAGCGTAACCCATGTTCGGTAACTTGATTAAAATCGTGACTTTAAGAAGATTTTCAGAGAAGTGGTCAGACAACAGATAACATAAGTAGACTTATTCAGCTTATATAAATATGACAAACTGTATGCAAATATTTCGAGGTGTTAAAACTCCTGTGCCGCCCTCATGTTTATACCCTCCCAATAGAATTGTCCACAGTAGCGTTTTTAAAAATTCATTCGTTTTTAATCTTTGGTAAAATTTGTTTTTTTTTTTAAACCCTAAACTAATTTCAATATTTTCTCCATTTTTCAGAAAACCTTTTATTAACTGCCCTTGTAACATTAGCCTGCATGAGACTGCTATAAAAATAAGGAAATATGGCAAATAAATTTCAAGCAATTGAAATACCACCATGTGTAATGGATCCACAGGTATGTTCGATACGATTATTCCAATAAATGTCATTTATTTAAAATTTGGTTTTCTTTTTTTCTAGACCCAACTATCCGATGCCTTGGCTAGTAAAAATATTAAAGAATTTCGTGTGGCCTTAGATTTGGGTGCCGATCCCTTGAGACTGGACAATAATCATTCGTGTATTTTCGAAAAGGCGCTGAGTATGCCGGGCTGTGCCCAATTTGTTGAGGAATGTCTGCAAAAGGGTTGTAGTCCAAATAATGTGAGTTTGCATACAAAACAAAAAATATTAATTACTTATAAAATGCGTGTGTGTTTTTCTTCATTTCAGCGCAATCCCCATTTGGTAAAATATGCCATAAGTTTTGCAGCCGACTCGCAAGACCCCCAAATTTTAAAGACCCTTCTAAAATATTCCAATGTTATGGTGGATAAAAAATATCACGAGTTAACTCCCCTAAACTCATTGGCCAAAAATATCAACAATGATAATGTCAATAATGTCAAAGAATGTATGAAGTGTCTATTGGACTATGGTGCCTCACCGAACATACCCAATCAATCCGACTTTACACCTCTCCATTTTGTGGTGAGAAATCGCAAATTAGATGACATTAAGAAGCGTGAAATTGTTGAAATGTTTTTATCCCATGGCGATATTGATTTGGATACATATCGCGAGGGCGAATTGAGAGAGAAGTTAATGGAACTGTATCCCGACATGAAATTGCCTGAGGTTCGCAGCACAACAGAAGTTACCATGGAAAAACTGTTGTCGTACATCAAATGTGATGATACGGAAAAATTCAAAGAACAATTTCCACAATATCAACTGAACATATCGGATAAGGATAACTTGAAGAATACCATGAAGGATGAAAATCTACCACTGCTATTGGAAGCCATACGTAAGGGTCACAATGAGGCATTTGATATGATATTGGCGAGTGGGGTTAATTATAATGCAGCGTTGAGGGGTAACCGTCCCATGGAAGTGGCCACCATTTATGGCAACAGCCATGCCCTGAGACGCCTTTTGGAATTGGAGGATTTGAAAATGGGCGATCATGATTATCCCTTGATTACCGTGATACGTAAAATGAACGAACAACCGGCCCAGGAATATTGTGATTATCGCAAATGTTTCTATACCCTATTGGAATCGGATCGAATTGATATCAACGAAATGGATAAGACCCGCTCGACACCCCTGCATTATGCTGTGAAATATCGTAACACCGAAGCCATACGAGAACTATTGAAACGTGGTGCCTATATTGGTGTGAAGAGTAAATTCCATGAACTGCCCATCGACGGCATGAGTCCAGAATTGCTGGAGGAACATTTCGATCATTGCATTAGTTCAAATGGTGCCCGTGCAGGTGATGAATCCTTTGAGATTTTAATTAATTTTATGAACTTGATGCCTGAGATGAGCGGTTCCAAGCCAAAGGCTAACCACCAACATCTACGCGAAGAAATGGCTCCGATTGCCTTCATAGCCAAAACTAAGGAATTCCAGCATTTGCTGCAACATCCGCTGATTACCAGCTTCCTATTCCTCAAATGGCATCGCCTCTCGACGATTTTCTACATCAATTTTCTGCTGTATTTCTTCTTTGCCGTTTCCATTGTGGCCCACACCGTTTTGAAATGCAGTGAAAGTGATTCGAATGCGGCCACGGCGATTTTTGGTCTCATCTCATGGGTGGGCATTTTCTATATGATATTGCGTGAGGCAATACAATTTGTCATGTCACCGATACATTATTTCCGTTCGCCCACAAATTATATGGAAGTGGTGCTCATCGTTCTGGCCATTATAACATGTAGTACATCCAGCTATGATCTGCAGAAAGAGAGAATAATTCCCGTCCTTACCATGCTTCTTATTTCGGTGGAACTATGTCTGCTCGTTGGCTCCCTTCCGGTGCTTTCCATTTCCACGCATATGCTTATGCTGAAGGCTGTCTGCAAAAGTTTCATCAAAAGCTTCACGCTCTATTCGATCTTCGTCATCACTTTCAGTTTGTGTTTCTATATTTTGTTCGGTAAACCACAGGTGGATGCTGATAATAAACCTGTACCGCCCGAAGACGATGATTTCAATAAATTCTCCAATCCCTTGGCATCGATGATTAAAACCATTGTCATGTTAACGGGTGAATTTGATGCAGGCGATCTTCAATTCGATTCCGTTTACAGCTACTTACTCTTCCTTCTCTTCGTCTTCCTGATGACAATTGTCCTGTTCAATTTGCTCAATGGCTTGGCTGTCAGCGATACCCAAGCCATTAAGGATCAGGCGGAATTGAACGGTGCCATTTGCCGTACCCAATTGTTGACACGTTACGAGGAAGTACTCACCGGTCGTTCGGAACGTTCCAGTTTTATTGTCAACCATGAGCCATTCCGTTCGATTTGTCGTCGCCTGATGAATCTCTATCCCAATTATCGTCACATTGCCATAATGCCAAATGATAGCAATAAAATTCTGATACCCATTGGTGACACCTACGAAATGAAACCGCTGAATGGCAATTTGAGGAAGAACTCCTTCCATCCCTTGCCCTCGAATGATATGGACAAGGTGAAGAAACTTCTCGATCCACCAGTACAATTTTTGCCTTGTCTCTGTTCCTGCGTCACCAATAAATGTTCCGAAATGGATCGTCGTACTGTCAAATTGGCCATGGCTGTTTTGGAACAGAAAACCGTCAAAATGGAAAATCGCAAACGATTGCAGGATACCGAGAATCGTCTGCGTAATATTGAATGTAAAATGGATGAAGTATTTAATTTATTGAAAGCCATTAAAAATGATATGAACTGAAATAAATGTTATAAAAAATAAAATATATATGAATAATAATGGTAATAATTAATAATAATAATTTAATATATTAATTGTAAGAAGATTTTTTTATTAAATATATGTAACAATAATGTGTTTTTTCTAAATTGTATACACAAGAAGTGTTAAGTATTAATAATATATATATATATATATATATATATAAATCTTGTGATGTTTTTTTTTTTTGAACCCCAAAAAATATTCTTTAAAAATCCACAGCTCTTATGGACGCCTTTTATAGACCGTAGCAAAAAATATTCTTTAACCAGTAAGGAAAATAGTAAAGTCGGACGGGGCCGACTATATGATACCCTTCACCACTATGGGTATCTTAAACAGGACTATTATCATGAAATTGGATGAAATAAATTATGTGATATTTATCTAAATGTGGATCGACTTAGATCTATCCATAAACATGTCATTCGATTGTTACAATGGGACAAAAGTATGTAAATCGACTTCAAACAAATATCAATATTTCATCAAGAAATCTGTACTTCTACAAAAACCCAACTAAGTAATTCTATGCTCAATTTTGTACGTTGTGCAAAATTTGATGTCAATCTGACTAACATGAGGAGTCTGATGTCCAATTTACTTAAAATCGGGCGCAAATATATATGGAAGTTATATCATAATATGAACCGATTTCAACTAAACTTGTCACAAGTTAGGCAATACTAATTTCAGAACGTTTTGTTCCTATCAGCCATATATTGGATCCTTGGTGCGTCAATTACACAAAATCAATCTATAATATAACGGAGATATATCTAAATCTCATCCGATTTTCACGAAACTTGGCACACATCAGTCTGGACTAAATTCAGTACGCTATGCCAAATTTCGTGCAAATCGAATCTTTGGTGCACCATATACCTGAAATCGGACGAAACTATATATGGGAGCTATATCCAAATCTGGACCGATTTTCTCGAAACTTGGCAGACATCACTCTAGGCTCAATTCAGTGCGTTATGCCAAATTTCGTGCAAATTGAAGGATATATGGGGACTTTGGTGCACCATTTACATGAAATCGGACGAAACTATATATAAGAGTTATATCTAAATCTGGACCGATTTTCACGAAACTTGGTACACATCAGTCTGGACTAAATTCAGTACGCTATGCCAAATTTCGAGCAAATCGAAGGATATATAGGGACTTTGGTGCACTATATACCTGGAATCGGACGAAACTATATATTTAAATCTGGACCGAATTTCTCGAAACTTGGCAAACATTACTCTAGGCTCAATTCAGTACGTTATGCCAAATTTGGTGCAAATCGAAAGCTATTTAGGGACTTTGGTGCACCATTTACCTTAAATCTGACGAAAATCTATATATGGGAGCTATATCTAAATCTGAACCGATTTTTTCCAACTTCAATAGGGTTCGTCCTTGGGCCAAATGAATAAGCTGTGCCAAATTTCATCTAATTCGAAGAATAAATGCGGCCTGTACATTGTTTACAACTTAACATGGACGGACGGACAGACGTACAAACATATGCACAAAGACATAATAACCTGTACCACAGTGTGGTGAAGGGTATAAAAATCCACGTCTCTTATGGACCGTAGCAAAAAATATTCCTTAAAAATCCTTGCCTGTTGTGGACCGTAGCAAAAAATATTCTTTAAAAATCCTTGCCTGTTGTGGACTGTAGCAAAAAATATTTTTTACAATCCTTGCCCGTTATGGACTGTAGCAAAAATATTCTTTAAAAATGGACCCCAGAAAAAATATTCTTCAAAAATCCACGCCTCATATGGACTCAAGAAAAAATATTCTTCAAAAATCCACGCCTCATATGGACTCAAGAAAAAATATTTTCAAAAATCCACGCCTCTTATGGATCCCAGAAAAAAACATTCTTTAAAACTCCACGCTTCTTATGGACCCCAGAAAACAGTTTCTTTAAAAGTCCACGCCTCTTATTTAGCCCAGAAAAAATATTCTTCAAAACTCGACGCCTTTTATGGACCCCAGAAATAATATTCCTAAAAAATCCAAGCCTCTTAGGGACCCCAGAAAAAATATTCTTTAAAAATCCACGCCTCTTATGGACCCCAGAAATAATATTCCTTAAAATCCAAGCCTCTTAGGGACCCCAGAAAAAATATTCTTCAAAACTCCACGCTTTTTTTGGACCCCAGAAATAATATTCCTTAAAAATCCAAGCCTCTTAGGGACCCAAAAAAAAACATTCTTTAAACATTCACGGCTCTTATGGACCCCAGAAAAAATATTCTTCAAAAATCCACGCCTCATATGGACTCCAGGAAAAATATTTTCAAAAATCCACGCCTCTTATGGATCCCACAAAAAAAAAACATTCTTTAAAACTCCACGCTTCTTATGGACCCCAGAAAACATTTTTTAAAAATCCACGTCTCTTATTTAGCCCAGAAAAAATATACTTCAAAACTCGACGCTTATTATGGACCCCAGAAATAATATTCCTAAAAAATCCAAGCCTCTTAGGGACCCCAGAAAAAATATTCTTTAAAAATCCACGCCTCTTATGTACCCCAGAAATAATATTCCTTAAAATCCAAGCCTCTTAGGGACCCCAGAAAAAATATTCTTCAAAACTCCACGCCTTTTATGGACCCCAGAAATAATATTCCTTAAAAATCCAAGCCTCTTAGGGACCCCAGAAAAAAATTCTTTAAAAATCCACGCCTCTTATGGACCCCAGAAAGCATATTCTTAAATATCATCTTATAGACCCAAAAAAAATCTTTAAAAATCTACGTCATTCGAATAGGTATAGCGTCGTCTAATGCACCGCGATCATACTCACCATTAGTCTGTTTCTTCCCCCAAAAAAAATCTTTACACACAAAAATATATAAATTTTGAGTTTTCATTTATTTTATTACACAAAATATTTCTTGTTTTGCTTTTAAAATCAACATTTCTTAAATTAATTTATAAATAGCTTATTTTATTGGTATTTTATTTTGTTTTGCAAACCATCAGTTTCATAATATCAAAAATTTATTTGTTGTTATCAATCTTATTTTTTCGCCTTGTTTTTTTTTTTGTACTTAAGCATTAGTGTTTTTTGTTTCTCTTCTTCTAATTTAATGAAAACAATTAAAAACATCTTATTAGCTAATGTACATAAATATAAAATTGATGTTGTTGTTATATTCTTCCATAAGTACTGTATGTTTATTATATTGTTGCATATACAACTTTTATTAATTAAATATTAGTATCAAAAAGAAAACTTGTTACAAAATCTATACTAAGCAAAATTGGGATGCTTTTCTTCTTTTGTTTTTCTTAAGTCTTAAAATTATAGTTAATTTATTCAGCAACTTATTGGAAATTGTTAGATTAATTGAATATGTTTTTTTTCTGATGAAGCTGAGTTAAATTTCATCGTCTGTTTTGTGGTGTTTGTTTAACATAAATTTTGCATTTTGTTTTTATTTAAAGCAATTTACAAGAAAGGCATTTACAGGCCAAATTTCAATTTTCAAATAAATTATTCGAATTATTTCATTTTATTGAATTGACTATCATCATTTCGAAATATATGCCACAATTCCTAATACTGAAATATTTTTTTGGAATTGTGTAAGAGTTTGAATACAAATTTTGGAAACCATATTATTTGAAAATAAAGTAGTTGTCTTAATTTTTTTTTCTGTTAAATATTGTGCGATTTTATCAGCATAAAAATTATGTTTCATTTTTGTATTTTATAAATTATCAACATTTATTCTAAAATACATCATTTTGTTTAAAATCATATAAAATCTTATATATTATTGAATATTTTCATATATATAACACATGTTTCTTATGCGTAGACACCATTAATACTGTTTTCTTTAAATATATGCCGAATTCGAATTTTTAAGGTAATATGCGAGACTTTCAGTCATCTATGGTTTTTACAATCGAAGAAAATTCGTACGATACAAACAGCTATGTAATGTTTATGATTGCCGTAGGTAACTACAAACTCCAATACATGTATATGGAATTCCCCTTTAGGTTCAACTATGGTAGGTACTCCCTTCCATTAAATATTAAATTTTTACTGTTTTTCTGTTAGCTACCTCTCGCTCTGTTAGCTACGTCATCCAGAGCAAGTGATGTGGCAATAGTTGAAGCGCCACTAAGTGAACAAAGTCGCCTGCTCCCCTCTAAAATAAAGTGTATTTTATTGGATGCTTAGAGCTTACGACTTTGTGGAGTAAAACATTGCACTTCCCTCATATATGGTACCAAAACATTGAGGCAAAACTAGCGAGACTTCTAGAAGTCGCAAAACTTCGATTCAATGAAGGAACTGTTTCACATGACCGAGGTAAAAGAAGAATGGTTGGTTTACCCCTCCACATGAAGCATGACAATGAATATTGATTGTTCCAAATGGATAATGATTGTTCCTAACTAGATATACTTAAATCGGCTTTCGAATAATCAAATAATCTACTTTTTGTATTGAAAAGTTTAAAAGTCGAAGTTTACTTTTGATCTTTGACGAAATCTAAAAGTCCACTTTTTATACTCGATTTTCGATATTTTTTATAAATCTGGGATTTTTAACACACATTTTATTTGTAGGCAACAATTTATATAAAAATTTTGATCAAAGGAAAAATCAAAAAAATTTGAAAGTGGACTTCGCCATCTGATACAAAACTCTAAAATTTGACTTTTGAACTCAACTATATCACCCTACTCCGAAAGATTGTCCTTGAAAGAATTAAAACGGAGCAACTATATTTTCAAATGTCTTGGAAATCGGAAATAATGCCACATGTGAATACGTATACCGTACCCCCATATATATATATATATATTTGTTTTTATACCCTCCACCACAGTATGGAGGGTATATTAATTTTGTCATTCCGCTTGTAACACATCGAAATATTCATTTTCGACCCTTATAAAGTACATATATTCTTGATCAGGGTAAAGTTCTAAGACGATCGAGCCATGTCCATCCGTCTGTCCATGCGTCTGTTGTAATCAGGCTACCTTCTGAAGAAATTGAGATAGGGTGCTGAAATTTTGCATAAAATTGTCTTTTGTCTGCAGGCAGGTCAAATTCGAAGATGGGATATATCGATCCACGTTTAGGCATAGCTCCCATATAATGGTACTCCCCAATTTTCGGTATTTTGGGGTTCTTGGGCGTGTTTTTCAACCGTTAAAATTTTTACTTAAAATTGGTACTTTGAGTTCTTATTGGGTAGAAAATCTGCCTACTAAAAATTATAAATATAGGTAAATTTTTCTGGTACCCCCCATATAACGGTACCCCTCAATTTTCGGTATTTTGGAGTTCTTTAACGCGTTTTTCAGCTGAATTTGCTACATCGGGTTCTTATTGGGTACTAAATGTCTCCACAAATAATTATTAATATAGGAACACTTTTTCTGGTAGTCCCCATATAACGGTACCCCCGTAACTTTCAGTAATTTGTTGGGTTTGATCGTATTTTCCGCCGAATTAGCTGAAATTTTGTATTTTGAGTTCTTAATTTGGTACATATTTCCCACAAAAAATTATGAATATAGGTCCATTTTTTCGAATAGCCCCCACATAAGGGTACCTCCAATTTTCGGCATTTTGGGGGGTCTTGAGTCCTCTGTTAACCGAATTTGCTGCAATTTGGTATTTTGTAGTCGTATATGGTTACAAATCTCCCTACCAAAAATGATTAATATTCGCCCTTATTAACCTTATATATATATATATATATATATATGGACCGATATTCCCCATGTTCGAACATGAACAGGTTTGGAAGAAATAATAAGTGGGATGAAGTAAAAATTTTTTGAAACAAATTTGGTCCAAATAAACATGGGGTCTACGACAACTATTTAGAACCATAATCGGTTTGTAGAAATGTCGGTATAGGTACACTTTTTGGTACGTTCCCTATATTTTTATTTCGAGTACCTGTTAGTACATCTATGGTGGAGGGTATACAAAGTTCGGCCCGGCCGAACTTAACGCTTTTTCACTTGTTGAATTTAGGCCGGGCGTTGAAAATACCGACAAAATCGGAGAAATGATCGAATTTGACCGGATTTCACAAAGCTGGATTCAAAAAGAAGCTCGATGTTTGGGTGCAACACTAATTAACAGAAAAAATAGGATGGATCGAATTTCAATTGACCAGAAACGGCCAGAATTGGTAAACAGGATAGGTGTCGTGTTCCATCAGAACAACGCTAGGCCGCACACAGCGATTCGCCAGATACTTCGGGAGCTTGGTTGGGAAGTTTTAATGCATCGACCATACAGTCCCGACTTGGCACCAAGAGATTATCATATTTTTTTGTGCATTGCAAAATTTCGTTAATGATAAAAAAATTGTGTCTAGGGAGGATAGTGAAAACCGACTACTTTTATGAGAGAGGCATTGTGAAGTTGCCTTTAAAATGGCAAAAAATCATACAACAAAACGGTGCATATTTGGACTTTCAAATCGGACTTTCCGAAGCATATTAAATAAAGTCCTATAGTTCATATACAAATAATGGATTTCTTTTTCCCGAACCTAACATATCCTTCTTTTCATGTTGGAGTAAAAAACACAGTAAGGAAAGTAGAAAAGTCGGACGGTGTCGATTAGATGATAGCCTTCACCACTTTGGGTGCATACAAGAGATGCTACTAAGGTTTTTATTGTAACAGGCGTTTTGTTTTGAAGGATCATGACATTATGTATGATGTTTGTCTCAATCAGACAAACTTTGGAAGTTTTATGTGCTTGATTTAAATCTGAAAACTTCGCAAACGTCAAATTGTACTTAATTCATTACGCTGTGCAAAATTTGGTCTCAATCGGACAAATATTTAGTCTTTGTTGCACCATTTACTTAAAATCGTACGAAACTATATATGGGAGCTGTATATATATCAGAACCGATTTTTCCTAATTTCAATAGGGTTCGTCCGTGGGCAAATTAAGTAGGCTGTGCTAAATGTCGGGACCGGGATACGACCTGTACTTTCTTTAAAATTTAACATGGACAGACGGACGGGCGGGCATGCATAAATCGACTCAGAAAGTTGTTCTATGAATATTCTTAAAAGAACCCATGAGCCTATAACGTTTCATTTTGTCTGTCACAAACATATGCACAATGGTGATGGCTATAATAATAAAATTACGACACAATCGAACATAATACCATAGATATAAAATTCGAATTCGGCATTTTCATAAATTTTTGGTAAGTTCTAAAACTTTTGCATTCCGGTGTAAAATGGTGCATTTAAAAATTGTTTGTTAGAAATTATTATTTGTCATTATTTTTATGAAAACATCACTTGTTGTTTAAAAAAAAACACACACACTTCAACACTAGGATCTTTAATAGACATTAAGTAATTTCATTTATACTTTTCCAAAAAAATCTCAAAACAATTCAACACAGAGACACACAGGGATAATAAAAATTATCCTCTTTGGCCCATAAAATTGCCAATGCAAACTAAATTTCCAACTAAAACCTGACTAGTTTCACAGTTATGTTTGTTCGTTTGTTACCACACACCGACAACAACAGCTGATGATGATGGATCTATGAACGGCAATGTCCATAAAATCATAGCTATTTCAATGCCTTCGTATATCATTCTTCACGTCCATGCTTTGCCGTAATCCCTTAGGTCATGGTGCATGAATGCCGCTTAAAGGCGCCACGATGTGATGGACTTTTGCTGCCTTTGGCCGATGTAAACGATGGCAACGATTGACGTCTTCTTCGCACCGCCGGACTTAGATTATAGCGAATGTTGGCCTGTACCAAGAGCTCCTTAAATATTTGTACAATTCCAGTATTTTCCTTGGCCGAACATTCGATATAGCCGCAGTGCCAATCTTCGCACACCACCATTTCGGTGACTTCATATTCGACTTGTCGTTCACTCTCGTCCATGTCGATTTTATTACCGACCACAACAATGGGTGGTTTGGTGCCTTTCTGTGTGATAATCTGCAATGAAATCGAAGAAGAAAAAAGAAGACAAAGGACAAGGATGAGTGTGTGTGCACAAAAGTGATTAGAATTACAAAAGTTTGCCACAACACATTGCTATGCCATGATAATCTTGTTAATCAAAGACTAATTCTGTGAAATAACTGCTTGGGGTTTGGATTCGAATAAGTAGAGTATGCCAAAGTGAAAAACCTCAACATTCTTGTAAATGTCATATGAGTAGATAATATTTCATGTGCATATGTATGACAGTGTGTGTGTGTGCGTAAGTGTAAATGGATGAATGTGTAATTAGTGTTTGTTCTTGGAAAATGCTATCCAACTTTCAAAAAATTGTCTACGTAATAATTCTGTACGATATTTAATGCTGTGGCTAAAGAGCCACATTTTGTGGGCATCTTCACCGAGGAAAGTTGTTGTTCACATTTTCGATATGAAAACGCAAAATGATGGGTAAAATTGTAGTACACTGCATATCTTAACTTATGACCAATGAACAATATTTAGGGTCATTATTGTAACTATATACTTCTAAGGAATACAAAGGTAATACAGGTAGATAAAAAGTTATTAAAAAAGTTGAAACTATTTGGCAAAAATCTGAAACTACTCCTTTAGAAAATGTTTCAAATTATGGTATCAGGGCTGTTATATGTGATATTAAGGAGAATAGTAAACTCCATGTTATATAAAAACGAATGAAGACGTAAATCATTTTACCTCCCATGCGAGTTGTGATTAATAAAAATCCCATTATTTTATTTTTTAAAGGATTTGTTTATTCATCTTCTAGTCCACTGTGAAGTAATCCCCCTATGATATATTTCTGCCAGCGCTCCCATCTTCGGACTTGATCTAGGCTTTGTAATGATAATAGGATTTGCTAAGTTTGCTTAAAATCGGATAGTCAGTTCCCATGATATAAAATTATTATACCCTACACAACTATGTTGTCAGGGTATTATAGCTTTGTGCAGCCCCAAAAGTTTGTAACGCCGCTAAATATTGGTCCTAGACCCACCTTTAAGTATACCGATCGTCATATTTCGACTAGCTGAGTCGATCTAGACATGTGTGTCCGTCCGTCCGTCTGTCCATTATAATTTGTAAACACGATACAGGCCACAGTTATGGACCAATCTTCACGAAATTTTGCATGTAGAATGGGTTCTGGTCAATGAAGATCCCTACTGTTTTTGATAAAGATCGGTTAACATTTAGGGGATGAAATGGACCAAATACTAAATTTTTGTCGCGATTTCTGGTCGCTCCAGAGGCCGCAGTTATGGTCCGAACATCGTGAAATTTTACATGGAGAAGGGGATCGGGCCTAAGATTAAGCATGCCTTGTTTTGATAAAGATCGGTCAATATTTAGCGGGTCAAATGGACCCTGACTTTTGTGTGAAAAATTACAATTTTTTTATTCTGGGGCGTATATACTTGCTCCTGAAGGACGTATACTCGAGGTGATGATAGTATGTCCAAGATGAGTTGCTGAGTTGCCTTCATTGATTGATACCAATTATATGGCTGTATGTACTCCGATGCGGGAGTTATACGTAATTAATTAAAGGTGACTATGTGCATATTATTACTATTACTCCATTAGAGGACGGAAATCTCGCGCTGATCGCTTTGAAATTGTACATGAAGTTCCGATTATGGTCAAGGACGACGCTTATAAATTTCGGTGAGATTTCATTCAGGGCGTACAATGAACCGAAAACTTTAATTTTGCCAGATTTTCTAGTCGCTCTAGAGGCAATTATTAGATGGTGATCGGTCAATTTTCCGAGTGTCAAATCAACCAAAATCTAAAATGACCAATTTTTTATTGTATGGCGTAAAAATTCACTTCAAGAAAAAACATTTTGAAAAATATGCAAGACTTAGAAAGAGGAGTTGTTGATCTATAATCGGTAAAAAGGGTGCAAATATCACGAAATATTGCCCAGGCTTTTCGTAGCAGTTGTGTAGGGTACCATATGGTCGCCCCGTCCGACTATACTGCTCCACTCACTGGTTTTCAGTTGTGTTTGCGCAAAATTCAGTAGCGTTGTTTAGCAAAATATCAAATATTTCCAGGTTGGAAACTTCATTTTAACTAAATAGAACCACCTCTATAATTGAGGGAATGAGGACTTCGTCCGGGCCGATCAAAAATTCCTTAAATCAGTAGGGACCTCTAAATGGGCACTATGTTATTGTTCATGCTCTGGAAAAATGTTCCGAATAACAGCTCCTCAGATTGGAAATTTGGGATAGGTATTTAAACGGGTAGGGGCTAATTCAAACACTAACTTATATTTAATAATTTCTGGAATGAAGTTGTTATTCACAAAAATTCCGATATGTTAAATTATAACCACTTCGATGTGAAAATTAGTTTTAAAAAGTTATTAATATGACAATAAGGAAGGACCTTTATGTTGGGGCTGTATCCATAATTTAGACTTATGAAGACAATTTTCCGGAAAAATGACGTTTATATTTGACGTTTATCTTTAACGTTTATCAAATAAAGACAATAAGGCGAGACCTATATAAAAACCTATATTGATCATTGAGCTTTTATATGGCTGAGCTTTTAATAACCCTTTATACCAAATTACAATCTCATCGGAGGAAAAGTGCGGCTAAAGCCTTCTAAATCCCAAAATATGGTGGTACAGTTATATAGGAGCTATACAAAAACATACACCTATGTTGATAATTTTTGAAATATTGATTTTTCATCCATGATAGAACCTCATATGAAATTACATGCCCGAAAGATTTAAAATAGGGAATATACGGGGTATAACTGTATATAAGGCCTACCATAACATGTTGACCAATAGTGATAAATTCTAGTAAGCAGGTAAGAAACTAAAATACCAAAAAAACAGCTAATCAGGTTTCCCAAAACTTTAAAATACCGAAAAATGGTAAGTACTATTATATAGGGCTGACCTAAAAAGTGACAGATATTTCCAAATTAATTCAATACCCTATACCAAAATTCATGAAAATCGAAAGGTATATAGGGACTTTTCTGCACCAGTTACATAAAATCGCCGAAAATATATATGGCAGCTATATCTAAATCTGAACCGATGTTCACAAAACTTTGCACACATCATTCTAAACTCAATTCAGTACGCTATGCCAAAATTCGTTCAAATTAAAAGATTTCCAGGGGCTTTGGTGCTCCAATTACCTAAAATCGGTCGAAACTACATATAGGAGCTATATCTAAATCGGAACCGATATTCTCGAAACTTTGCACACATCATTCTAGACCTTATTCATTACGCTGTGTCTAATTTCGTGCAAATAAAAAGATTTCCAGGGACTTTCGTGGACTACTTACCTAAAATCGGACGAAGATATATATGGGAGCTATATCTAAATCTGAACCGATTTTTACGAAATTTGGCAGACATCATTCTAGATTTAATTTAGTATGATGTGCCAAATTTCGTGCAAATCGAAATATATATAGGGACTTTGGTGAATCATTTACCTTAAATCGGACGAAAATATATATGGGAGTTATATCTAAATCTGAACCGATTTTTTTCCCAGTTACAATAGGGTTCGTCCTTGGGCCAAACAAGTGAGCTGTGCCAAATTTCATCCAATTGGGATCATAAATGCGACCTGTACTTTGTTTACAATTTAACACCAACAGACGGACGGGCATGCAAAAATCGACTCAGAAAGTGATTCTATGCTTATTCTCAAAAGGAACCATGGGTCTATCTCGATTATTTTTGCATGTTACAAACATATGCACAAATACATAATACCCTGTACCACAGTGTGGTGAAGGGTATAAACATCCTATAAGAAATAACAGTGTATGTGCAAAATGTCAATGTTCTATCTGAAATGTTGAATATTTTTAGGTTTGGCTAATGACAAATTTAATATACATTCCACCATTCGGTGAAGAGCATAAAAACCCCTCTAGAATTTACGGATAATGATGTCCTAGGGCTGTATTTTTGTCAACTCTACAAATACGGTAGAGTAAGCTCTAGGGTACGGAAAGCTCTCGAAAAAAGGGAAATCTATACAACGTTCCTGATATCTTCTTTATTTTGACGTAGACAATACATGGCAGAAATAACACGAATTATAACACCCTATTTATGACTTGTGTGTTATGATTTTCGCTATATTCTACTAGAAAACACACAAAAAAAAATAAATTTTCGGTCCACTTCATCCCAAAATTTTAATCAGATCATCATCGAAAATTATAGACGTTGTCTTTGACCATATTTGGAACTTCGTGGAAAATTTTAAATTTTATATTTCCGCCCTCTAATGAGGTAATAGGTTACTAAATAATATTTGAATACCTAAGCACCTGTAAATATATTTACGCAAGCACCTGTAAATACCATTCCTCTTGGATACACTATTCACTTCGCGGATCTATATGCTTCACGAGTAAATATTTACGCCATTGAATACAAATTTTGTAATTTTTCACACAAAAGTCAGGGTCCATTTGACCCGCGTATTCTTTGTCCCAATTCTCTTCTCCATGTGAAATTTCGCGATGTTCGGGTCATATTTGCGGCCTCTAGAGCGACCAGAAAAACCGACAAAAATTAAATATTTGGTCCATATCATCCCCTAAATATTAACCGATCTTTACCAAAAACGATAGGGGTCTTCACTGGCCAAAACCCTTCCTACATGCAACATTTCGTGAAGATTGGTCCATAACTGTGTATCGTGTTCACAAATTATAATGGACAGACGGACGGACGTACACACATGTCTAGATCGACTCAGCTAGTCGAGATAAGACGATCGGTATACTTAATGGTGGGTCTAGGAACAATATTTCGCAGCGTCACAAACTCTTGGGGCTGCACAAAGCTATAATACCCTGACAACATAGTTGTGTAGGGTATAATGATTTCCTTGAAATATAAATATGAATTTTCCCCATGTTTGTTGCATTCGAATTAGAATCGGATATTATAATAATTTCAA